CAGTGGGGAAAATGTTCTCAAAACAGAGACAGGCTCAGTGGCAGGAAGAAGGAAGAAAGGGAGGAATCTGGAGAATGTGCCTCCAAATCCAACAGCAACCTTTGAAAAACTTGAGGAAAGGAGACACACACACACAAAATAAAGGGCCTAATGGATAAAGCACTGAAAAAAACAATGCAATGCCCTGGAAAGTAGTATAGCAGTTTATTTTTAAAAGTTAAATATAAACATACCATCTGATCCAGTTATTTCACTCCTGGGAATCTGCCCAAGAGAGATGACAGCATCCATCCACATGAAGACAAAGGTCCATAGCAGTGTTATTCAGAAGAGTTTCAACAAGTTGGAGGCCATCTGAAATATCCACAAACTGACCCATGGTTAAACAAAAGGTGACGTAGATCCACATGACCAAATACCACTCAGCGATAACAAGAGCTGGGGCCAGGGATGTAGCCCAGAGGCACAACACTTGCCTGGCAAGCGCAAGGTCCTGAGTTTGATTCTTGGTACCAAAAAAGAAATAACAAGAGCTACTGATAAACATTACAACGTGGATGAATCTTGAAAACTTGCATATGACATCTGCCATATTCAAAAGACTATACTTTATATAAGTCCATTTATAGGAAGTATCCAGAAATGGCAAGTGTAGGGATACAGAAAACAGATTGGTGGTTGCCTAGGGCAGGGATGGAAGGAGGGATGAACTGTAAATGGACACAGGAAATGTTGTAGCTGATGAAAATGTTGAATGGCAGCCTTGTGATAATGTGTACAACGCTCTACATTTGCTTAAATTCACACTGAATTGCACACTTGCAGTTTTACGCTATGCAAATTATATTACCAATGACCAAACAAACCTGCTACAAACCACTCTTCTCTCCGGACCTGAGTGGTTGCATGAGAGAACATAAAGGTGGAGGCCCCTAGTAAAACAGGCATTGTCACATAAGACATCAAATGTGACTTGGATTTACTTTTCACTTTCATTTGGCTCTACACCCAACAACAGCAGCCAGTTTGTGCTGGCCACCAGAATCCTAAGAGGGCTGCACCAGTATTACTCCATTTTCCAGATTAATAAAAACAGGATCAGATAAAGAAAGCAACTCACTCAAGGGCCCACAGTCACTAAAGGCAGAGATGGCACTAAATCTCATTCTGTCCAATTCCAGAACCCATGCTCCTTACCAGGGTATTTGCTACCTACCCCTTTTGCCTGCCCTCTGTCCCACCAACTCTTGGGGCTCAAGGAGAAAGGCGTGGTACCATTGGGCATGCTGAGCGAGGATGCCAAGTTTCCGTATCTCCTGGCAGCGAGCACAGGCTTACACGTTGGTCTTCAGCACTGATCTGCCCAGATGCTCTCCAAGCACTGTGGAGAGGCCTTGATTCAGAGAAGCAGCATGTTCTGGGCAAGCCACATGGAACAGGTGAATAGCATCAGTGTCTCTCTGGAGCCCATACTTAGAACAGCCCATCTGGAATAACCCAGGGCTCATCAAAAATGAGCGTCTGTGACAGAGATGACCTCAGGTTCAGCTGCAGGCCTGCGCAGATGACCTCTTCTCTTGGGCTCTTCCTCTGGGCCTGCACGTTTCCAGGGAGCATGTCCTATAGTGTGTCTCTGGGCACATCTGGCTGGTGCGGAGCCGGCAGCCACTTCCTGACCTCGAAGACAGCTTATTGTGCACTCTTCCCAGTGCAGCATGAGGCCATGCAGTTGCTTACAGAAGGTTTCCTAAGGCTACTTGAGGAGGCCTGAGAATGCCTGCATCCCATCAGAGAGGGACTCCACCCCTGCAGGTGCTTCCGCAGCAAGCCAGCCAAGGGCACAGCAAGGAAGTGTCTCCTCTCCCCTCGGCCCCTGCCTCTCCACAGCCAGCCTCAGCTGCTCCCCACAAGCAGACCCACACCTACCTCTTGGCCTTTGCAAGCGCTGGTCTCTCTACTAGGAACACCGGACACCAACCTTGCTCCTCCCATCACCTTCTGCAGGTAAATGGTGGCCTCTCCTGCCATGCCATTTTAATTGCTGCCAGGACTCCAGTCCAGCCCTTGCTGCTCCTGCTGTACTTTTCTCCATGGCGTCCACTGCCCTGTGACACACTGAATTTTCTTCTGTCCATCTCCCCTCTGGAACGGAAGCTCTAGAAGGGAAGGGAGAGCTCTCTGGTCTGCCTCTGTGGTGCCTAGAACAGAGCCTGGCAGTTGGCAAGTGGCAGGAATCTTGCACAAAGGAATGAACTTTCTCATTGAGCCTGGCATCTTTGCAGCTACTGGCAGTGCCAAAGACACCCAGCAGGAATTCTTCATGCCCAATCAGAGAAGCCAGGAGCCAGGCTGGGGGCAATAGGTGAGGAACCACTCAAGCGCTGTGTGGAGGAAGCAGCTTCATAGCCCATCTTTTTTTTTTTTTTTTTTTTTTTTTTTTTTTTTGTGGTACTGGAGATTGGACTCAGGATCTTGCACTTGCAAGAAAACCACTGGGCTGGTGCCATCGATGCTTTTCTATGCTGTCCTGCCCTCTCAGGCCATCTTTTGGGGCAGTCCTGCTGGTGTCTGGGGCATGTGACTCTCTCAGTTACTCTTCTCTCATTGCTGGGACAAATACCCAACACCTAAAATGAAGGAAGGAAAGGCTTATTTAGCTCAGTTTGGGGAGGTTTCAGTCCATACTCAGCTGGCTCCAAGGCAGAGCGGCATGTGGCAGAGAGCAGCCTTTCATGGCAATGGCAAAGAGCAAGAGGGAGGAGCAACAGTGGCAGCAGAGAGCAAGTCTGTCTCCCTCATGGTGCACCCAGGCTCTCTGCCCCAGGCTGGGTGCAGCACTCACACTCATAATCCCACTGGATCATGAATTAATCACAAACTCTGGAAGTCTACCCCATGACTGCATGAGGCTTTGGGGGGACAACTAGACACAAACCATAACAGTGGCACTATTGGTTGTGACATAAGGAAAGGCCCTTAGGAGAAGGATAAGAACTGGGTGGAGGAAGATTCTGCAACACCTCACTCACAGGCACCCTGAGAACCAGGGGTAAAAGCAGAACCCTGCACTGCGCACAGCCAGGGCACAGGGGTGATGGACTTGGCCTTTTATGGCCTGAACCTGACTTGTCCAGGTTTTGTGTCCTCAACTCAGAGCTGGGCTCCACCCAGGTCTTCCTGCTGCACGTCCCCTTCCTGGGACTGGGCTTCCTGCGCTCAGCCATGTGACAGGCCAATGGTCACTCCAGAGATGACACAGGACGCCTGGTCTAGGATTGCGGCACAGCTTCTCCTGGAGAACTTCCGGTTCTCCTGTGCCAAGCCATTACCTTTCCAAGCTGAAGACAGAAAAGAGTGAACAAAAACAGATCTAAAAAGCAAGAGACAGGAAAAGGAATATTGTGGGACTGTACTGCTTCAAGGTTGTATATGGTGAGATTTTTGGTCTTATGTGCAAACATGAGAAGTGTATAGTTCTTTATGCCTATTTTAAAAATATATTCTAATTTTTAAATGTTTTTTTATCATATTCTGTAGGGACTTAAAGTTCAACATATCATACTTGATGAAAAATACCTGTTTCATATTATGCCTAAGATGTTTGATATGCAGACAGTGAGGTTAAGCTTAACAGCCTAAGTTGTTCGATAATAACAAGCTTGTCTTTTGGATGGTTAACAACCTAAGTTTGCAGATCAAAATTAGAGAAAAAGGAGGGCTGCAAGGAAAGCCAACATTTTGGCCCTAGCCTTCTAAGGTCAATTAAGACTCAGGACATATGAGAACTTGTACTATAACGTCATGTAACTCAGTAGTGTCCCAAATTTTCTGATCAAGGAGATTATGGGGCCAAAGAGGAAAGTGATCGATGATGTAGAGTGTGCCTAAGGAGAGTCACATGGGGGAGAAAACACTCTCTCAGGCTTTCACAGAGAGCACATTGGCCAAGCAATGGCCGTGACTCATACACATGGCTGACACTGACAAAGGTTCTATAATCTGAGGTACAGGATCTCAGGATAAATCCTGAGGGGATTTCACTGACCTTATCAGACCCAAAAACTACAACTCTTGTTGCATAGGTCCTGCTTTACCTTGGTCTTAACCATCCAGCAGAAAAGTATAAAAACGAAATATAAGAAATAAAGCCATGCTGTTATGTTGAGCTGTAGGGGACTCAGGTCAACAATTTCTAACACTGCCAGTTAAGCGGAAGACCCAATACTATTATGGGCTACTGGACTCTTTTAGAATATTTTGCTGAGTTTACACACCTATAATATTCAAATAACGGAACTTAACAAAAAAAGGGGATACAGATGAATGTCCATTTTGTATCTGTGTATTCAAAGTGGTTAGGATAGATATATAGGTACATTCTCTTAGTGAATAGAATGATTTGTTCTAATGGTGTTTGTAAATAGAATATCAAGTCCGCATCTCGTACAGCAATTAACCACTAAGAAGAATGTATGCAGTGTGTTAATTATTGAAACTGTCCTACCGATTTGGTTTGAAACTGTCTCATTGCTATTTGTTTATCAATAAAACTATGGCCAAACAAACAAACAAACAAACATCTAAAAGTGCAGTGGACCAAAGTAATATGGTTTTAAATTCTAGCTCTGCGGCTTGGTACTTTAAAATCTTGGGCATCTCTTCCTCTGAGCCTCAGCTTCCTCACCTGCCAAATGGGATTCCAAGGCATCTGCTTCATCATATGGATGGAACTAGATAACTCTGGTGAGCCCAGCACCTGACATCCACACTGAGCACCTGAGACATGGTGGATCTTTGTGCTGCTGCTGTTTTAAGAGGGAAGAAGGAGGGAGGTAACACCTAGCCACTTGTGCAGGCTGGCTGTAGACCTCCAAGGTTATCCAGGTCCTACGGCAGTGGGATTTGCCAGTAATTAAGACATGAGAAATCTAGCCATTCTCCTTTGGATTTCAGAATGATGTAGGCACAACAAAAACCAGCCGAGATGGAAACTTCTCAGTAGCCATGGGATTTATTCCAAAGAGGACCTGTCAGGGCTAATAGTACAACTCTGGAAAAGGAGGGAACGGGACCCCAAAGCCACTAAATCCCTGGGTTTATAATTAGCAGCCAAGCACGCACTCTGCCTGTTCTGGAGCCATGTGGCTCACTAGGGAAGGGCACTGTAGTCACACAAAAATAACCCCCCAGTGGGTTTTTGATGTGTTGAGCCTTTTTGTTTTTCTGAATTTTAATGAAGGGCTTTCCAGGCAGAAGGAGAGAAGCTCCCCACGGTCAGAGAGTGCGCTTTGCTAGCTGTGGCCAGTCCGGCTGAGCCAATGCAGTGTCCAGGAGAGGCAGCGGGGAAGGTTCTTGGCCTCACACAAGGCCTCCTCTGGAGGAAAAGAGAAAAACAAAAGCAAGAAGTGTCAGCCTCAGCCCTGGGTGGGTTGAACTCCCTTCTGAGCACACAGTGGAGCAGGGTGCGAACATGGGGAGTGGTGCAGGGTGGGAACGTGCACCTGAAGGTCAGCGGCTCCTGCAAGCAGGGCTCCCTCTGGTTCTGTGGGGTTCTTAGGGACATTGGGCCGGGTTCTCCTGAGAGACCTGGAAGTGAGGCTCTGGGAACCTGTGGCCCGGCTAAAGGCTGGCTTTTGGAGCTGGAGGAGTAGGGTGCAGGCAGAAGAGAAAAAGGTGCTGTCCAAGCACCCCACTCTTGAAAGCAAATGACAAATGTGCCACCTCAGCACGCCCGCTGCTTGCCCCGCCTCCTGCTTGCACCTGCAAACATGTGCTGGAAGTGACTGTGCAGCCTAATGCACCAATAGCACCCAAGGGCCGGCACCACAGCCAAAGCACTGTGCTAGGCCCTCCCTCGATCTGGGACAGCTGTCCACACCTGTTCCAGCCCCACCCCCAGGTCCTGTGGTCCCCAGAGCTGGCCTGGCCTTGTGGGAGGCAAAAGTGCAAGTAGGGGTGCTAATGCCTGCATCAAACTCTCCCCAAGCTCTTCCCCCACTGAGTTTTTGCCAGATTGCTTCCAAGTTGCCCCCATTGGCAGTGCTGGGAAGAAATGGAAGGGATGCCACAGAATAAAGTCATTTATTGCATTTGAATGACCCAGTGTGGTTTACTGAAAATAAACATTTTTATTACAAAATATTCTGTATGAAAACCCTAAGGTGCTTGCAAGCCTCCTTCATTTTAGGCTTACTGCACCTGTTCAAGTCCAGAATGGAGGCTATGGGTTCAGGTCTGCTTGAGTAGCCCAGCAGGGTCCTCCTTCTCTGTCTGCAGCAGGTCCAACTCGCTGAGGAGCTCTGAGGACACCTCTGTGTACAGATGGTCCCAATCCCAGCCGACGTCCTCCTGCCAAGACAGGTATCACTGGTTCAATGAAAATAGGCCTCTTTTATAGCTACCTTCCCAAGCCAGTTGGGTCCGGGAAGGTGTGGCCAAGCCTGAGGAGCCCGCTGGTTCCCCATGGATGCGCTGAGCTTGGACAGCTGCTGCTGCTACTGTACCTCTCGGACTTCGTTCTCTGGTGCCAGAACTTTGGTGAGGAGTTTCAGGTCGATCTCGCCATCCTGTGAAATGCATGAAAGGCCAGTTCAGGCACCTTGAGGGCTGATTCTCTTTTGCAAGGAGGAGTTTGTGTATGTTAGAACTATCTAAACTGACACCCACAGACTTCATCAAAGAGTAGAACTTGGAGCAGACCACATGGCCACTGAGAAGCGAGGGAAGGATACAAGGCCCCTGTGTTGGGCACGTTTGGGGGCAAAGGGCAACAGTGAAGGGCAGAGCACAGGCAGAGGGGCGAAGGACAATGGGGTGCTGGCAGGTGTCAAGTGCGCAGACCTGAAGCATATGGGAGTCTCACACTGGAAAACAGGGGTGCAGTGCATTGCAAGACACTTAGGATATGGCTCCAAAAGGGGAGTGCTGCTGGGCAGCACCAGGACCAGAGATGGCACTGTGTGGCTCTGGGGGAACTGAGAACTCTCTTGCTGGAGGTTGCTTGGAGCCTGCCCCTCTGTGCAGAAGCTACTCCACTCACCAAGGTCTGAAAGGCTGAGTACTTCATGAGGTCATTGTCCAGGTCGCGGTAGGTCATCACTCGGTTTACCTGGACACTGAAGAAAGACAATATGGGAAGAAACCATAGGCAGGATTGGGTCCTGAAGTGCTGTAGGGCCACTGTCCCCCGAGCCTGGTATGCAGCTGAGTAGGCAACAGAGAGGCAAAATGGGTCATCTGGGGTGGAACCCATCACCAGAAAGAGGTGGGTTCATGTGGCAAAAGTGGCATACAGCAAAGGACCACTGCAGATGGCATTTGGTGTGGACTCATTCTTACATCTCTGATCCCTTTGCCAGCTGCATCCCTAACTTAACCTACCTGGGAGGGGACGCCACCTGCAAAATGAATTCTTCTTCCTGTACTTCTTCCAGATCAGGAATGATGGGAATATCTGCAAAGAGAGGTGATACCCTTGTCTGCAGCATGAGCAGGGACCCTGCTTCTTCTCCCACGTCACTTAGTCACCTGCCACTCATCACCTGGGGGCTGTGGGCTGGGGCTCGAATGGACACTCAGCCTCTGGCCTCCAGGGGCTTCTGGTGTGGGGTGGCATTATGTTCAGGGTGGGGGCAGAGCAATCAAAGGTGGAGCTCCAGCAATTTCTGAACCACGAGCCTTAACCAAAACCCACGGAAACAGAAGCACCTGGTAGGGCTAAGATTTCTTCACTGACTCTGATGCATGTGCCAGATTAGGACCCATGGGGTGGGTTTCCAAGGACAGAGGTGAGGAGATGCGATTCCCACACAGCACTGGAGCGGAGCAAAGAGGAAGAGGACCACCCGATGAATGAGCCTGGTGTGGTCAGAGACAGAACTGCACAAGGCAGCATCACAGGGTGGACACCACCATGAGCATCAGCTGCTCACCACCAAGCCCTACGCATTCACTCTGGCGAGCAAACGTGACCAGCCTAGGTGTGGCGCTCAGCCGGCCCCTGAAAGGTGTTTTACACATGATGGCATAACCTGGCTTCCCAACATCATTTCAGGCGTCAAATGCTGCCGATCCTAATGGGCACACTTCTCTTGCTGTCTCATGGAACTTTTCCTTCTCTGAACTTTCCAGACATGATGACATACTCAGGCAGAGACCCTGGGCCACTTCTTTCACCAGTGTATGGTGAAAACAAACAGGGAAAATGAGAGACACATAGCATGGCACTCCATTGTCGCATCTTAAGTTACCAAAAATTGTTCACTTTCTCATGGAGACAAACTGACCCCACAAAAGAACATTCCTTCTCCACACAGATGTCACTGACTGGTTGAGGGGTTTTGTCAGACTAACAGGAGCAAAGAAAAAAAAGAATAGGACAGGAAAAAAGGCCACACAAGGTGAGACACTCCAGGAATTCTGAAACCAGCCACAAACACAGAAAGAAGGAAATGTCCTAGAGAAGCGACTAGTGAGGAAATTCTTTGTTTTCTGCTCCATGGACTGAGTTCAATTTTACTCCTCAAAGAGGGACAAAAGAGTCTAAGGACAGCTGGGAAGACCCTGGTCACTTTCAGGCTCTTCATTATTTAGAGTTCATGATTGCTCCTGTCAAGCTGAGCGAGAATATATACATGTTAGTTCCAAGCCTGGCGTCTTGATTATCACTTCAGACTCACAGATATTGTACCTGGAGAGGGAGGGAAGGAGAGAGGGAGAGAATACAACAGGGAGAGAGTCAGAGAAAGAAAGCAGTGAGAAGGGACAAAACTATAAAGACATTGACTGCTGTTAGGAAAATAAAGAAGAGATGCACAAACCAGCCCTAAAATAATTCAGCAAGTCCTCTATCTAGAAAGAAACTGTTCAAAGCTTACATCTCCCTGTACTGCTAGAGAACTGGAGATGGAATCTGCTAAGATTCTATTTCTTACGCTAACGGAAATTTAGCTTTATCACCCTAGTCCTGAGTGACTAACACGACGGCCACTGTGTGGGCTGCTGACAAGGCTCCCCAAGCCTGGAGTGACTGGGGCTCCCAGGCTGTGAGAGGGCACAGGCCCCGTGAAGGGACAGAGAAGCTGGCTCTGCCATGGGCCATCAGCAATGTGACAGTTTCAAAGTGAGCCAGTTAGCGACTCATCGTTGGCTCTCCCCAGGCCTGGAGTCCAGCCTGAAATGAATATTCAGAAGTTGGTAAGAAAATGTCCATGCTGAGTTTAGGGCTCAGGATGGAATTTCCCTGAACTCCGCTTTCCCTCTACAACTTTAGCATTTGGGTCCTGTCAACTCGGCCCAGCTCCTCCGAGCTCTGCGAAGTCACACTCCTGCCCGATGTCTACTCTTACTCCTGGGGGTTTCCCTCGTGGTCCCCACTCCCTCCTCCAAATGTGCACTGAAGAGTGTGGAGCTGGCCCATCTGTTGACAGATCAGGGGTCAACGTGGGCCTTGGCAAAGGGGCTGCGCAGAGTGGCACTGGTGGGGCTGGCCACACAGTGGGATTTCTCTCTAATTGGAAGCCTAGTGCCCAGTAGAACCTGGTGAACTGCCGGAGTGGGATGAAGCCAGCGATGACAGTCAGGCCACAGCAAGCTGGAACATTCTGGGGCAGTGACAGCTTGAGCCATCACAGCAGAGGCTGGCCATCCAATTCCCGGTCCCCAGTGGAACAGGTGGCCATGGAGTGGGTTTTGGGCAAACTTCAAAGATCTTCACAGTTTTGCAGTTTCTGATTTACAATCTCAGATGAGCGCTTGCTCACGTGCACACAGTATGTTTCGGGGAATTTTCTCCCTTTCTCTGCTTCCCTTTCCCTGTCCTGCCCCTTCCCTCTGTGTACTACAAATAAACCTAGAAAAAAGAATGGATTTCAGAAATGTGCCTCTTCACAAAAGGACCAAATTCCCAATCTAGCCCTGCTTCCGGTTGGATAGCGACTCCAACTATAAATGTGGACTGGTGACCTGGTTTCTCTCAGGTGCTGAAGTTCCACATACAAAACCAGTCTTAACAGAGACAATAAGAGGAACAGAGGGTACAGTTCAAGACTTTTGAAAAATTATGATCTTTTTATTTGGGGGAGACAGGGTGGTGGGGATGGAGCCCGGGGCCTCATGCAAGTTAGGCAAGTGCATTACCACTGAGCGACATTCCCAGCTTGTCTACTACTAATCTAACAATTATGTGACCTTGTCCTCATTTTCTTCTGTGCCGCTGTTACTTGAGGGCATCACCAGCTGCCATGAGGTAAATAAAGCAGGCCTGCAGGACGCCTGTCCAGGGGCTGAGTGTGGAATGGACCCTTTCCAGATCTTCCCTGCCATGGCCTGGCTGTGGGCCTTGTCTCCTCCGTGCTTCAGTCTCTTCATTGGTAAAATGAGGATCGTCCTCACTCCCACCCCAGATGGCTGTTATAAGCTGCAAATGGAATGACTATTATAAAATACTGAGGATGATGCTTAGAATTGAGTAGACTCTTTCTTTCTTTTCTCTTCCTTTGAGACAAGGTCCTGCTGTGTAGTTAAGACTGGTCTTAGAGTTCACTAGGTAGCCCAGGCTGGCCTCAAACTCGCAGCGATCCTCCTGCCTTGGTCTCCCAAGTGCTGAGATTACAGGCACATGCCACCATGCCCAGCTTGAATAAATATTCAATAATCTTTTCATCCAATTAAAACATTGTATCAAGCATGCTGAGAAGCTATACAGTTCTATCTTTTCTGATTTAGTTCCATCCAGTGATGACCAACTTTCAGATGACACAGAGGCAAAGCAAGACTACACAGCTTATGTGAGGTGGAGTCATTAAAAATGGGCAGAACTATACTTCTTGCTCTGTGGAGGCTGCCGTGCCCACTCAGCTTTCCTCTCACCTGTGAAACACTGTCAGGGACACCAGTGCCTGGAGTACAGGGGAGACACCACCCATAGCTGGGTACTTTTTATGTTTGCCTAAGACTTACCGTTTTCTGTTTTGGGGTATTTCTCTTGAATCCTGTAACTGTAAATGACCGAAGTGCCCCCTCACTATATGCCTGGACTTCTACTTCCCTCAAGACCAAATGGTAGAGGATGATGAAAATGTACCCACATCAGCCACCCATGTGAATTCATTCCCAGGAAGAAGAGGTGGCAGGACACCTTAACAGCCCACAGAAGGCCAGCAGGACACTGAGAGGCAAGGGGCAGCAGGCGCTGGGCTCGTCTCTCCTCTGCTGGCTCGGCACTGTGGCAGGCAGCACTGTGTCTGCTGTCTGTAGGGCCCCAGCTCAGACTCCTTGCCCAGGGAGCCCTTCTTGCCTCTAGGCTTTCTCCCTCCTCTCTGTGCACCTGTGCACAAGCTGTTCAGGCTGCTGTTCTACGTCACACAGTGTCTGGTAAGCCACACTGTGGGAAACTCCAGTTGCCCACTTGGCCACTCACACACTCACTCGTTCAAGTGATACTGACTGAGCACCTACTGAGTGAAAGGCGGTACCAGAACAGCAACAGACACAGACAGACAGACAGACAGACAGATAGACAGACAGACAGACATGGTCCTGGTCTTCATGGAGCACCAGTCAGATGGACAATCTAAGCACAAATGTCCTGCTTAGTAGTAAAAATACATACCAGGATGGAAACTAACAAATTCCATGGAGTACTCTTTTTTGTTGTTGTTCTAAAGTAAAAGCAACAATATAGGTGTAATCAACTCAAATGCTACAGAAGTAAACATTAATACGAAAAGTTCCCCTTCTGCCTGTGAGACCCAGTTATTTCCCTAAAGGTAATCACTTTATTTCTTACATAGCTACCGACAGAATAGGAGCATTTCACAGCACACAGACTTAAAGAATGTCTGCCAATGGGGTCAGACTACATAAGCAGCATTCTGCAACTTCGGACCTTACTGATACACACATGTATTTTCTTCTTCGAAATGACTGACTTGGATTCTAGGGAAGGAATGTTCTGCATGCATCTAATCCCACCATGTAAAGATCAGTTTTAGAGTCTGGGGCATGGGATAAGGAGTTAGGGAAGGCCTCTCTGAACGAGGGACAGAGCAGCAGGGAGCTGACGAGGAGCAGGAGGCAGCCAGGCAGGAGACAGCATAAGCAGAGGTTCGAGGAAAGGAGACATGACCTGGAGAGATGGAGGGTGGCTGGTGTGGCTGGAGGGACCAGGGTGAAGCAGAAGAAGGTGCACAGTGCCAAGGGTGGGGGGTGTGTAACACACCGAGGAAACACCAACTGGGTGCCTGCTGTGCCCATGAGCCCTTTCAAGGCTGGGTGGGGGGGCAAATGAAGATGACTGGGCATCGTGACGCTGTACATAACAAAATAACGAGTGCTCCGTATCACCTGGACTGCAGTATAACTCCTTACTTTAAAAGGAAAGATGCATAAAACAAAAAACAAACAAACAAACAGAAAAAAAAAAGGAAAAGATAAGATTCAACCAGTGAGATG